CCTTTCAGAGTGCTCATCCAAGAGCACGCTGAACTGTTTTAATGGCACCATGTGTTACCTTACAACCTCACAAACCTACAATTACAGGTTTAGCAATTAGCTGTGAATGTGTTGTTTAACACATAATCTACACTCATTTGGGGGAAGGGTGCTTGCAAGGCAATAAATACACAATATGGGAATATTTGATTGTAACATTCATGTTAAGAAAAAAAAAAGAAAGAAAGAAAAATAATTAAGCCATTTAGCAAATTACTTTTTTCCCTGAATGACTTACAAAAGTTAGAATCAATCATCATCTCTCATAATTATATCAGCCGTTACATAGATTTGAGATATGGCTCATTTCAATTAAGTACACATACTGAATCTCACTCTTTCCATCAAAGCAACCAAGCAATACTGCCAGAATGTCTTCATTCTGTATAAATTCAGAGTAATTATTTGCATGACTGCAATTCCAACACAATTAACCTTGAGCATCATATAAGAGGAGTTGCTGACTGCTGGGAAATATGCAAATTCCATCCAAAAAGGTCACTGTGATTCGATTATAAATCTGACGATTTATATTTTCAACAATGTCCTTTTCACATTCAACAGCTGTCAGGCAGAGGAAATGGGATATCTGCTTCAAATTAAGTATGCTAATTCATTAATCTGATTTAACAATAATCATAAGAAAGGAAAGAAAAGTTAATTAGATTAATTAGTATATGTTATCAGCTGGGTCTTATATTGTCCTCTATGGCCTGGACTTTTGTCTCAAATGAATGATTACCGAAGTAACCTGGAGTGCACCGTGAAAAAATAGAACAGTGGTCAGGAAGAGAAACAGATGCCTTAAAATAAGGCACTTGAACTAATCTAGATGTGTTTGAGGTTCTCTTAATTGGGCATGTGTGTTGGTGCCGTGTGTGCAATGAAGGTAGCAGGGGTCTGTGATTAGATTGTGCTGTGATCCATCAGATGGACTGACAGGTTGGTAATGACCCTCCTCTCAATCCCCGCGTGGCAGCACTCTGACACCAAAACAGCGGCTCGGCGTCGTTTACCATGACCCAATATCTTGAAGTTGGAATTAATTGTTTTTTCCACATAAGAAACTGGTACATCAATTAAATTGACAATTTGCTGGTCTGTATTCTCTTTTGTTAAAAAGAACAAAAACAAAAAAATTATTTCACATTTCAAAAATGAACCCCTGTGATCTAAGGCCCTAGCTCAAAAAACACAAACAGACTTTCAAAAAAGGTAGATAACATGTTTCAAATGTTCTTCATTAAACACAAATACAATCAATCAATAAATCAATCAATAAATAAATACATTTTCAAATTTAGTTTAATGTATAATTTTGCATTTATTTAATGTTGTTGTATTTTATATTATTTTTGTTCAATATATTCTCTCTACTGAGTTTTTATTAGGTCAGAGGAACATATTAAAATAATTTACATTTTTATTTATTCATTTAGCAGATGCTTTTATCCAAAGCAACTTACAAATGATATTGTGACTTACAAATAATATTGTGAAATATTATTAGAATTTAAAATAAATGTTTTAAATTTCATATATTTTAAAAACGTAATTGATTTCTGTGATGCAAAGCTGAATTTTCAGCAGCCATTAGTCCAGTCTTTAGTATCACATGATCCTCACAAATCATTCTAATATGCTGATTTGGGGCTCAAGAAACATTTCTTATTATTATCAATGTTTACATTTTTTTTTGCTGATTACTGTTTCTGTGGAAACTGTGATACACTACCATTCAAAAGTTTGGGGTAATTAAGATAAAAAAAGAAATGAAAACTTTTGTTCAGAACAGACGCATTAAATCAATCAAAAGGGATAGTAAAGACATTTATAATGCTACAAAAGATTTGTGTTTCAAATAAATTATTTTCTTTTAAACTTTCTATAAATCAAAGAATACTGAAGAAAAAATTGAGGTGATTCATCTTAATGGGAAAATAATTGGGATTTTAATAGAATTTAATTAATTTATTGTTATTTTTACACATATGTCACTGGGGGTCTCTGAGACCCTAACAATAAATAAAATCAGCCAGAACAGAATAATTGACTGGCTACAAAACAGTCGCCAAACAGGAAGGGTTTCAGGAAATCTGTTTACAACAATGTACTAATCAATACAGTGGAGTAACTTATGAAGTACTAAATCAGTTTGAGTGTGTTCCACAACACACACACGCGCACGCACGCACACGCACAGACTCATTAAACTAAACGCCTCACTGAGGTTCATTAAGCTGATTTCCTTTGAGGACCGGCCTACATTTGTCTGAGAAGCTCCAACTTCTTCTCTGTGATCAAACAGACAGATAACTGTCAGAGCCGGAGAGATCAGGACATTTGAACAATAGCGCCACCCCCTAACAGCCCTGAATTGTTACGCTTGCTTTCCTAACCTCTGCCCTTTTCTTCAGGCTCACGTAATGCTGAAAGGCCTGTGCCATCTCTATTCCGCTATATCATCAAGTGTTCATAAGTGTGTGTCTCCCTAGGTTAAAGGTGCTATTCTGTTAGGTCACGAAGATCAAACCTAGTTGATGAAACTTTAATTAGCATGAAATGGGCATTTCATCTCTAGTTCTGACAGTTCTCCCCCCCCTGAAGAGACTTTGGTCTCCCTTTAAATGTAAAGTTGTTTGCTTAAAAAATGGGGTTGTTGTTGTGTTAAAAATATTTAATTAACCTGCCAAAAGTTATTTAGAAATTGTATCTTTCATTTTGTGGCTTATAATCTGTCTCATTTAGCATGTATACAGCTTTAATTAACTCATTTGTCCTGGTGGTTTATTTAAGCTAGTCAAGGACCCGGCTATGTGTAATTCGCTGTAATGCTCTCTAAAATGGTAAGTTTAGTTTATATAGCGACAAAAAAAAGAAAACGAAAAAAATCAGGCCAAGCACATTTGTACACAGAGAATGAAAGAATGATGGTTTTGACGCACAAAGCACACACATAGAGCACTCATTACTCTCAGGGCGAAAGGTAAGAGTCTTTTACTGGGCAGTTTGAGTTATGACCCTAAAAACCCCTGGCAACATCTGGACTCCATATTATGGACCAACCAGTACTGGACACGATCACAGTTTAGGCGTTGTAATGAGGTCATCATTTCAGCAGAACAGCTAAATTAGTCTGTAATCCATATTAACTCTGTAATGTATGGAGAAAGTTTGGCTGCACAATTATTAGAAAAATAATTGATATTAGGGCTACAGCGATGCACTACCGGTCAAAAAGTTTGGAATAATAAGATTACATTATTTTTTTTTGATCTTATGCTCACCAAGGCTGAAATTATTTGATGAAAAAAAGTAAAATCAGTATACAAGAAAATGCGATTTCAGTTTTTCTACCTCTTACTTGCCATTACTGTAAATGTACTTGCAATTTCAGAGTGAAAATTGTTTCTACACCAATTTTTTTCTTTATATAGAGATTGTTTCAAAGCAGCTTCACATTAATAAACAGTTTTAATATTGAAAAATAAATCAATTCTGAAAACAAATTCAATTTCAGCCATAAAGCAGCTCTACAGATCAAAATGTCATGTTTGTAAAGTGTAGAGGAGATATTCAGCTATTTAAAATGTTAATTGTTTGAGGGGTTAAATGTAATATTTTAAAACATCAGTTACAAATAATTAGAAATTATTAAAAATGATTGTCCCATTTTATCTGTATTCACCCATCTCTGTGGAAAATCTCAGGTTTGAAAAAGTAAATAGCACCCATACAGTGTGTTGTACAGTGGCCAGTTCTATCAGTGTACACATGGTGGTGTGTTATTGTCTTAGCTCGAGGCTTTGTTTTTGTTTTTTCCATAACCAGGCAGGATAAGCCATTGGCCAGATGGCACAGTGGGGTCTCCCATGGTTACCTCATCCTGGGGACCAAACATTGCAGACAAGCACACATATACAACACAGACTGTTATGTAACCAATCAGTCTAGACGGTCCAGTTTATAATCGCAGGTCTCTCTCACTCTGTACTCCGCCAGAGCTTGTTTCTCCTGTATTGCAGCAGTAGATTTCTTATTCTGTCTGTTTATTCTGGACCAGAGAAAAATGGTTCATTGTGACACATTGGTGGGCGGGTCTTCAGTCAGCTTTCAGGCCATGTGACTGAAGTTAGTAAACACAAACCCACTCCTCGGTCCAGCAGGATATAAGACGCACAGGTCACGATGGCCTCCACACAAAAGAGCCTCCCCCCCTGCCATTCGCACGTAAACGTACACATACACACGCATGCACAAATAGAATAAAACACACTGGCACTTGAAGTCTGCCACGCTGCAGCTGCTCCAGTTTCCATGGTAACGTGCAGAACAATGAGGTAAGAAGCTGTGGGGGCCAGTCTGAGTGTGCGCTGCGCACGCTTTCATATCCACTCGCGCTGAGAGTGTGTGTGCCAGCGTTTGTTTTTGTGTATGAGTGCCTGAAAGTGCATGTGGCTGTGCCCTGCCGATTTCTAAATCAACTAAAAGAGAGAGAGTGAATAACGAGGGAGATACTCGTTCTCCTTTGTCAGAGAGGGCTTGGTCAACTAGATCTCTCTTCATAGCGAGACAGATGGAGGGAGAATGGCTTGACGAATGAAAAACAGAAAAGGGGTAAATGAAAAGAGGAAAAAGTCCAAAACAGGCGGAAAATATGTGGTTTGTTCAGAACAGGAGTCAATTCAAGTATATAGATATTAGATTTGAATCACATTTTGGCAATTTAAGGATAACATCTAATGATAAAGTCAATTTTGACTTATTGTTAAGGAAATGGTAGTAAAAAAAAACAGAGAAAAACTAGGTTTGTCCAGTTATTTATGCTTCAAATGAGTGACAGGTATTTTTATTTGACAGTATGATTTAACTGTGGGTTTTTGCCTTCAAAGTCATAACTTACATCCCCTTGAAAGTCATAATTTAGCAAGTTGTTTCAGGGCTGTTTGAAATGTGGATGTTGCCGCCCACAGAGGGGCTTCAAGTTTATCTGAAATGTAGTTCAGCGCTTTGTTTCTCAGTACCTGACAAGGCTCAAACGGCACTAGCAGAGATACAGAAGCACTCATCCTTTGAGAAGCTCTTTTGTTTTCAAAATGTCTATTTATTTTTCAAAATGAGGTATTTCAAAGTGCTGTGAGTTGCAGCACTAAAATGTACATTATAGAAAAGGAGAAAAAAAACACTTTTTTCCCCCACTGACCCAGTTCTATGAACCCAACACTTACAAATATATAAACAAAGAAAGAGAAAGACAGCAAAGAATAGAAGCCTTATAAAATGGAGATAGAAAGAATTTTCTGTACAAAAGAAAATAAGGTAGAAAAAAGGATAAAAACAAGATAAAGTAATATCTACTCAGAACTCATTTTCATACGAAAATATAAGTATCAAATTTAGTATGTATCTGATGCACACTAAAGCATAAATGTAGGAATTAGTAAAGCATGTCATAACAGAGATTATAAGACAAAAAATAATCCAAAAACAAAACAATGTGTCCTTATATTACAAAAAATCCTCATAAATTGAGGTCTTACAGTACTTGTTCACGGTATATAAACTTCCAGTCTAGTTATTGGCAGCTTTTGACATCTTTATAAAAACCAAAAGACAATAATTGTATACAAAAACAAGGCAGACTGAGTGTACGTTCTTTTAAAATCTAATCTATTTACAAAAGTGTCTGACATCAAGGTGCGCAGAGGTACATCCATGAGATTCAGCACCGGTGAGGTGTGAGAGATTATAGCCATTCGAAGTGTCTCGTATCATTTGTTAAGTGTCCGTTTTGCAGGAAGAGCATGAACATAAAGTTCATCAACCCAATCGCGTTTTGAAGACTAGCTGTGTTCATAAGAGTCTTGTCATTGAGGGGAAGTTGGGTTTACTTATAAGCACCTTCCCACTTCGTTGTAGCGTGATTGGCGTGACAAAGTAAACCTGAAACATTCTTGACGTCAAAAAATGTGCAAAAAAAGTGTCAGCAGTGAGTGTCCCTAGCATTTATTTTAGGCTGTTAGCCTTAGCGTTTTGTCGTTCGTCATTTGACGTCGACCATTAGCTGTGAGGCGTTCAGCCAATGAGGGTTAAGGGTTAGCGAGTCCTGGCCTGCTCGAGTCTACGGAGGAGCTGTTGTCGCCGGGCCTGCAATCTGTCTTTCTCCTGCTGGAGTCGGAGCTCTTGGGCCTCCAGGGAGCTGACGTACTCTGTGGCCTTCTTCAGGATGACCACCTTCGCTGCCTTGTCGTTGTGCGCTAGCTCAGGCACCTGGTCGCGCAGAGTGAGGAAGCTAGAGCGCAGGTCGTTGCGCCGTTGACGCTCCAGGATGTTGTGGTTGCGTCGGCGTTCGCTGTCCTCAGAATCGGAGCATCGTGGGCTGCTGGAGTCGCTCTTCCTTATTCGCTGGCTTGGTATGCCGTTAGTAGGGGAGTTTGGGGAAGAGTTCTGGTTCCTGCCAGTGCGTGGAGTTATAGTGCTGTTGTCGATTCGGAGTTTCTTGCATGGGGGAGCGCTGGGTACATCTTGCTGGTCGGAGTAAGGGGATGGAGCTGCGTAGTTATGCTGCTGCTGGTGGATGGAGGCTGCTGCCGTCCTCTTCAGAATGAGCTCCTGTGGAGCTTTGCTCACGCCGGATCCCAACCGCCCTCCTGTGGACGCTAGAGAGTTTGAGGCGGCAGACAGACCACTGCTGGTTACCTTGCTGGTGATGGAACGCCTTTTCTCCACCGTGACGACATCAATCTCCTCTTCTTCTTCATCATCATCATCATCATCTTCATCTTCATCTTCATCATCATCTAGAGGGAGAAAAGGAGATTTAAGTTAGCAGGTTTGTTGTGCAACCATTCCTCTAGAGGTGCACAGGTATGAACAAGTGCACTTAAAGGAAACATGCCTGTGTTTTCTCAGGGTGTGTGCTGGAGTTAATGACTTTGTGTGGGCAGATGAGACAGTTGCTCAGTGCAATCAATCCCAACCGCCCTCCTGTGGACGCTAGAGAGTTTGAGGCGGCAGACAGACCACTGCTGGTTACCTTGCTGGTGATGGAACGCCTTTTCTCCACCGTGACGACATCAATCTCCTCTTCTTCTTCATCATCATCTTCATCATCATCATCATCATCTTCATCTTCATCATCATCTAGAGGGAGAAAAGGAGATTTAAGTTAGCAGGTTTGTTGTGCAACCATTCCTCTAGAGGTGCACAGGTATGAACAAGTGCACTTAAAGGAAACATGCCTGTGTTTTCTCAGGGTGTGTGCTGGAGTTAATGACTTTGTGTGGGCAGATGAGACAGTTGCTCAGTGCAATCATCTGAACACGCTCTGTCAAACACAGAGGAGCTGGATTCTCCCCAGACTGGACCACCTTAGATTTGACTTTCTACTTTAACACACACCCTCTATTTACAGTGTCTAATGAAGGGGTTTGCGAGCACATGAGCATTTCGTCATGTCATATTTTTCTTACAAAAGCTGTTTTACTGTCCAGTTAGACATTTCGCTTGGTGCTTTTTCAACTGGTGACACATTTCAAGTTAAGCTTAGATGGCAAGACGGCCTCAGTGTGATGCCTAAGAGCTATGTTTATGAGATAATAGACGTGATTATCAGCTAAGCCACACATGAAGACTGTTTGGCATTTACTGGAGCCCACAGCCTCTCACTTCAAAAGCTCCCTACAGGAAACCGTCTGCCAACATTAAGGAGAGACCAAACGGGGCGATTTAATCTTCAACAGAATGCAGACAGTCAATGCGTTCCCCTTTTCCACTGGTTTGCCACGAAAAGGCATAACAGCACGGGCGGGAAAAACTAGCGTTGTAATCGCGTGGTCCAATTATTCACGGGCTTTGCCGAGTAACACTGATCTGATGGTGTCTTAAGCCGCTGCCCTGGAGAGGTGCCAAGCAGACAGCTGGAGGAAAGGCTCCGCTTGTTCAAAGCCGTCACCCTGTAAAGAGAGATGACCCATCATCTCTTTTTTTCCCCCCTTCCTTGTCTTTTTTTCTTGTGATTATCATTCACTGCACCTCTCTGGAAGATGTGTGGCTTGCCAAGCTCAGCCCACTGGGCAAAAAAGGGTGGGTGGGGGTTTGCCTTTCTCGTAGATGCACACGCATGCCTCCTTTTTCACATGCTGGTGCCCAGTGCCAGCTCTTATTCTCTCACCCAGGTGTGATTGTCGTTTGGGATTTGCATTTGAAACAAGTTCTCATTTCGAAGGGAAGCGACTTATTGGGGGGCACTGAATTTAAGGGCATGGCTTTTATGCAATCTGCCCTTGCTCACACCCCCCCAAACATCTGAGCCTGTGGTTTTACACGATCAAGCTCTCAATTTGGGAAAAAAATAAATAAATAAAAATAATAATTTTAAAAACAACATTTATGTTTCAAATCAATCTTTCATATAATAAAAAAACTAATCCTGTGACCTAATAAATTCTGAAATTAGATTCTGATTCCATGCCTAAAGCCAGATTAATGGAGGGCAGATAAGGACATGTATTCCTATGTAATATGGCTCAGTGATGCTATTCACAGCATTAAATCTTTAACCATGAGCTATTCAGCCAAAAGGCTCAACATCATGGACAACATCAAATATTACCGCCATCTACTGGGTATACAGACACAGTATTACATAAACTCCCCATCACCACCCACTACTACTACTGAGTGTATGTGTATGCGCGTGCGTGTGTGTGTGTGTGTGTGTGTGTGTGACCGACAGTCTGGAATGTCACACACTAATCCTATTCAGGGTCTGTCATATGATTTTCAACAATTACCCCAATGACCGCTTACAAACCTGGCCAAACTATTTAGTAGCATCATAAATTGGTGATGATGGTGATGATTAATAATAATACAAATTATATATATATATATATAAAATTGTCTAGAAACAACTAGGAAAAATGGAAAAAGAAAATCATTCATGACATGTATTCAGTGACAGTTTCTAGGGAACTTACTAACTTTACATTAAGAGCATGTCAAGAGACACTTACCAGAGTCACTTGGAGTCTCGTCTGCACTGACTGGAGGCAAGTGTTGGCTCCTCAGCTGTGTCACACTTTGGCTGCTGCTGCTGCTCCCATTTCTTTTGTTGACTGGATAAGGGAAAACCACGGTAGGGTCCACACACTCCGGTATAGAGTGACTAATTTCAGGTGTCTTGACCGTTGTGTCTTTACTGGCTTCAGTACCGCTAGGAGCAGAGATGGCTTTCCCGAGTTTCTCATTTACCACCCGCTCCAATTTCTCACGTGCAGAGAAGCCGCTCCACATGCAGTCCTGAATGATGATGGAATTGTCTGTAGTATCCAAAACGGAGCCAAAGAGGTCCCCGTCTGATGCCCCCCAAATGTCATCTTCTGGTAAGAACAGAAGCTCGGAAGCCCAGTCCAACGGGTCTGTTAATCCAAAGCCCATCAGTGAGCAATCCCCAGCCACTGCACCCAGATCCCCTGGGTCCCCTGGAAGCGCTGCCCGGCTCGGGGACAGAGGAGGAGTGGGCAGCAGCTCGAATTTCTTCCAGATGTCCTCACCAGGCGGTGCAGCATCTGGTCTGCAGAAGTAGAAGTCATCCTCATCCGGGTAGAAACAAGGTTGTAAGGAGTCAAACTCCAAATCAGAGTTCATGGTTTTAGCTGGCATTCTCCCTGTGAGAGACACAAAACTGATGGCTTAGAATTACCACAGCTTTTAAAATAAAAGCTTTTGTCCCAACATTGACACTGGGAGGTAACATGGGAAAAAGGCAAAGATATTTGTATTAATGACACTCATTCTCATGTCTTTTAAGTGTCATCTCACTGCCCTCAATGTGTAGTGTGAAAATATTTATTAACCTTCTTAAATAAACTTTGAACAGTAGCTGCATTATAAAACGAACTTTTTCAACAGAACATCTCCTAGAGATTTGCAATGATTATGTAATAATAATTATTATAATGATTAAATACCATTACTAATAATAAATAAAAAAATAATAATGCACAAAAATTATTAAAAGCTTTTGTCATAACAAAGACATCTGTAAGTAATTTTAAAAAATCACTATAATATAATATTTTGTTGTAATATAGGTCTATAAAATAGACTCTTAAAGACCCCAAGTCACAGATGTCTTTGAAGTGTCCTCTCTACATTGTTTATAGTGATAGCGTTCATGAACTCACTTAAACTTTGGACTGTTTGCAGCACAAGACACAAACTCCTTCAAGAGCAAGTCGAGCAGACAAGTAAATAGTTTAGAAATAATATTTCGCGTGAATGAAACAGCTAGTTTAGCTGACACTAAAAGACGTGGGCGTCTTACCTCTGAGAGTGTTTTGTTGTCCCTTCTTTATCGCAGTCACTGTGCCCCCGTTTGGAGTCGCACATCTACCGCGGCGACAGAAGACTGTTCTGCGCTTCTGTGTTTCGGGCTGTGAACAGTGTGAAGTATTACTCTCGCTGCTGGCGTTTAGAAGAGACATTGGCTCCTCCTCCAGTGGGCGGGGCGCGGGCGAGGTATGTGCTGTTGTGTGATTTTCTCTGGAAAGGGCATCAGTTTGGTCTGGTCTAAGGTGTTCAATTTGCCGATAATAAAGGAATAGCTCACTCAAAAACCATAAAAAAATAATTAATCATCATGTTCCAAATACGCACGGCTTCTTTAATAGAATGCAAAAGGAGATGTTGGGCAGAATGACAGCAGATCACTCACCGTGCACTTTCATCGTGTGGGAAAGCAATGAATTAAAGCAATGAAAGTAAACGGAGACTATCAGTTATTCTTCCAAACATATGTTATATTTCACGAAAGAAGTCGTACGCGTTCAGAACAACATCATGATGGTGAATAAATATTGGCCGAATTGTCTCTTTAAGAGAATGGAGTAGAGTTCCGTTTAATGACTGAAATATATGCTATTTGTTTTTTGTTTGTTACTCTACTCTGTAATTCGGCTTTATTCAGAATATAAACGCAGTTGCGGGCTATATAAGCGTTGAAACGTGATGAACTGTGTTGTGAATGAATCCGAGCGACTCAGCAGCCTCTCATTGTTCAGCTCAGTGAGGTAACGGACGATCCGCATGACATCACCGCTGTCGACTCACTTCTGCCGCCGTGTGGACACGTGACGAACCCGCAGCGCGCGGCGCCAGTGTGCGTTTACTTTCAGGGAACTAGGCACGTTTTGTATTGCTGTTCATCCACGAAAATGTTTATCAGCTAGCGCTCGACATGCAAACTTTATAGTAGATTGTGTTGATTTACTTCTAAAGTAGGGATTGCATGATTGGGTGGGTGTAATGGGCGTTGTAGGGAGGAGATGCTATTATGTAATTGTTGTTCGCCTCAGCGTTTGAAGACATGGTGTTTTGGTCCATCACTCTTTAAAGGGCGTGTGTTGTAGGGATTTGTAGTTTGGAGAAGAAAATCCCAAGAGAGAAGACGAAAGAGGAGAAGAAAGTCCCAAATGATATTAAAAAGGTATACATTCCTTTTATTTGTTCCTTATATCACGTTCCTCTTTTAGGTTGAAGAGTGACCCAAAATAATAGGGGAGGTAGTTGTCACTCAAGTGAGTATTAAAGACCTTGGAACTTTTCCATAAAATTAAATATGACTTGATATTTCTGAAAAAAATAAAAATAAATTCACAAGCACATTGGTTACAATCATATAAAAAATGTTACAACATAATTGTCATAATTTTGAAGTGTTCATGTTGAAATTATAAAACATCTTTTGTCCTAATAAAATTTGGAGGTGATGTAATGGAAACCCCCCCCCCCACTATAAATACAACATGTTGTTATAATATAGTCTTACAGTAGTAGACTCTTAAAGTCCTCTGTGCATTACTTATTGTGATGCTGTACATGAACTAATTTAAATGTTGAACTGAAATTATAGCACAAGACAACTCAGCTAGCAAGTCAAGCAGACTTATTATTTCTTATATTGGTTAGATTTTTTAAGTCCAACTATTTCCAATTTTGGAATATTACCATAAAAACAATTTTGTTTAATCAACCTAACATTTCTAAAAAAATAAATAAAAAAATCATTCTTATATAGTTCACCCTCATTGTAAGCTTTGCTTACTCAAAGGACAGATTTCACAAAAAACTTTTTTAATTTACTAATTTTAACTCGAAAAATTCACATGCAGTTAGACTCAAAATCGTGTAGTTATTTAGATATAACCCTTGTGACCACTTCCCAATGTGACATCTAGCCCGGCCTCCCTTATACTTGAAGTTGTTTGCTTCTCTTGTGAAAACAGTTTGTTGTGGGAACTCAGCGAGAGAAAGACAGAGACTAAGAGAGGGTTTTGGGATTTGAAGCGCTCCTCCAGAGCCCAATCTCTATGACCTCAGCTCAGGAAGAGCTTCCTGTGTGAAAGTGAGGGGGAGGGGGAAGCTGAATACTTTTGTTGCTAAGTGAATGTCTAGTTCTGTCAGTCAGCGTTCAATTTGTCTGTGCTGGCCTTGTTTGCATACTTTCCTTGTTATAAATTTTCAAGTAAAAACATCAAGGTGATTCATTAATTAGTTTAAGATTAGTTTTAAAGGGTTCATATGATGCGATTTAAAATTTTCCTTTCTCTTTGGCGTGTTACAAGCTCTTGGTGCTTAAAGAAGATCTGAAAAGTTGCAAAGACTAAAGTCTCAAATCCAAAGAGATATTCTTTATAAAAGTTAAGAGTTAACCACGCCTACCTAAAACGGCTCGTTCTAACACGCCCCCACATACCTACGTCACTATCTGGGAAGATTTGCATAACGCCGCCCAAATGTTTACGCAAAGAAAGAAGGCGTAACTTTTATTCTCGATGTAGTATTGTTGTTGCCGCCGCCATGTCATGAAGGCACTGTGTGTATGGATGGTTAAGCAATTGGGCCAGTTTGGATAAAACATTCATATTTAGAGAAAATACAAAAGCAAAGCATTAAGCCTCAATGACAACACTGCGGGAGACAATGAGAGCACGCAGGCCAGGACATCAATAGTGCACACGATCGGAAGTCAGGCCTGGGCGCCTGCTCCTCGGGTCTGGTATGCAGAATGTGCACAAAATGTGCAGGTTTATGTCCTCAAAGGTATCAGAGGTACATTTAACTTTGATTGCGTGCTTTGGCTGAGTTATTGCTCTTTAATTGGGTAAAGACTTTGCAAACTCAGTTATTTTGTTTAATAGAATAAATTTTTCCTGTGTGTCACTCACCTTGTGTAGATCTAATAATTTTAAATTTTTTCTCTCAATAAACACACACACTCAGAAATCCAGTAGACTTTGCTTTACTCTAGAGCCCCTCTTTTAATCACCAGACCTGTCAAACATTGCAGATTCCACAGTGGCATAATTCCTTAACAAATGACAGACAAATTCAACTTTGTTTCTGTTTGGCGGAATTCAATTAGTAACCTTCAACCTTCCACCCTCTTACCTCACACAGTAAAACCATTTAAAGTGCCTTTGCTAAACCCTTTAAAGAGTTTAGCCAAAAACGAAAATTCTGTCATCATTTACTCGTCCTCATTTGCTCCAACCTCAATGACTTTCTGCTGTGAAACACAAAAGTAAATTTTTTAAGAATATCCTGGCCATTCTTTTCATGTAATGAAAATGAATGGGGACTGAGGCTGTTGGGCTCCTCTTTGAAGTCACACAGTAGCTTGATAGATATACAGAGGTTATCCTTTTGTGTTCAGATGGAGCAAGAAAGTGAGAAAAGTATGACAATTTTCATTTATGAGGGAACCATCCCTTTAAATAACTCCTCATACCAAGAATGAGTATTGAGTCCTGCTGTGGACTTTTAGTAGACTTCTGGTTTAGTAGACTTTTTTTTTTCTCCCCTTGCCAGAGCTACTTTGACCTGTAGTCAATGTATAGTGAAGGGAATAAAAGTGGTAGATATCATTTCTCTGGCATACTTCCCTCCCTCTGTCATGTATCTTTTCATCCTTTACCATTAGCTGTTTTGCAGAGGTTTGCATATGAGTCAGTTGGATGCAAGTGCAAGTTCGAGCAACTACTAAAGGAATTTACTCAGTCAGATAGCATCCAAGATATTTGAAATATGTTTCCTGTGTCATGAACTTTCTGATTAGATTACTTCACATAGTCATCTATCTATCTATCTATCTATCTATCTATCTATCTATCTATCTATCTATCTATCTATCTATCTATCTATCTATCTATCTATTTATCTATTTATCTATCTATCTATCTTTAGTCTGTCTGATTTCCCTTCTGGTTGAAGTAGACCGACATAAAAGATAGAGCTAAAGAATCCTGCAGCCCTTCTTAGTTAATAGGGAAATTCTGCAAAGATGCCTAAAATAGTAAGCAGAATCTTCACTTTACATCTCTGCTACTCTTTCCTGTCTTTACCACAGCATCAGCTGAAGAACTCCATGAATGTTTGGTCTTCCTGAAAGGCCAAACATAGGGTCTTTTCTTTCTTTCTTTCTTTCTTTCTTTCTTTCTTTCTTTCTTTCTTTCTTTCTTTCTTTCTTTCTTTCTTTCTTTCTTTCTTTCTTTCTTTCTTTCTTTCTTTCTTTCTTTCTTTCTTTCTTTCTTTCTTTCTTTCTTTCTTTCTTTCTTTCTTTCTTTCTTTCTTTCTTTCTTTCTTTCTTTCTTTCTTTCTTTCTTTCTTTCTTTCTTTCTTTCTTTCTTTCTTTCTTTCTTTCTTTCTTTCTTTCTTTCTTTCTTTCTTTCTTTCTTTCTTTCTTTCTTTCTTTCTTTCTTTCTTTCTTTCTTTCTTTCTCACCATTGCTCAGATCCTTCAAGCCATTATCCAAGCAACAACTGAAGACAGGCTAGCAACAAGCATACAACCTAAACGACCCCTTGGCACCAGGCTGTTATGCTCCTGTGTGTATTTCCAAGGTCACGCCGCCGTACATTTGAGACTGCAGGTAGAGCTGACGAGTGTGTGATTGACCGTGTAAAAGCTCATTGGTTTGTTTGCACTGTGCTTGGTATTTCACACTGTATCACACAGTTTGAGAATGATGTATTACCGCAAAGGCCTGTTTGAACAGACGTTTTCATCCCAGATGAGACTTTGGTGAACCCCCAGCTAGTTTATTTGAGCAGAGCAGAAATATTTGTGGAGGAGGTGAGAGACCACCACTTCCACTTTCATCCCTCGTTGAGATTGAGACTACCTTCAGTTTTCCTCTTTAGAGATAGGAATATTCCAGTTTAATTATGAGTTCAATGGCTTCTTTCAGGATTCATATAGTGTTTTTATCTGTATTGGAAAAAAATGGAATAGAACATAATGCATCTAAATTTATTAACAATAGTTTTGTTATGTATCTCTTCTAAAAATATATTTTAATATTAAGTCATTATAGTAAAAACATTATTTAATTCTTATATACTTTAAATTTTTAACTCTATTAAAAATATATACACTACCATTCAAAGTTTGGGGTTAGTAAGATTTTTTTTATTTTTTTTTTACATTTTTAAGTCTCTTATGTTAACCAAGCCTAAATTTATTTGACTGAAAAAACTTAAAGTTCGACTTAAAAAAATTAAAAGGAACAACATTTATTTGAAAA